AGAACAGACTAATACAGATATTTTAACAATTTTAATTATTCCAATCCAGGATAATGGGGTATCTTTCCATTTATTAGTGTCCTCTTCAATTTTCCTTCACCATTGCTTTATAGTTTTCATTAAAGAGATTTTTTTTCACATTTTTGTTTAAATTTATTTCTAGATTTATTGTAGTTATTGTAAATGGGATTGCTTTTGTGATATCTTTTTTGGATAGTTTGCTGTTATATATAGAAATGTTACTAATTTTTGCATGTTGATTTTGCGTACTGAATCTTTACTGAATTTATTAGTTCTAACAGTTTTTCAATGGGGTCTGTAGAGTTTTCTCTATAAAAGATTAAATCATCTGTAAAAAGAGACAATTTCTCTTCCTCCTTTCCAATCTGAATGTCCTTTCTTTCTTTTTGCTGTCTAATGGCACTGGCTAGGACTTTTAGTACTATGTTGCATAGAAATGGTAAAAATAAGCATCCTTGTCTTAGTCCAGATTTTAGAGGAAAAACTTTCAGCTTTTCCCTATTTAGTATGATGTTTGTAGGTTTCTCATATATGGCCTTTATTGTGTTATGATATGTTTTTTCTATACCTAATTGTTCAGGGTTTTTATTATAAAGGGATTGTGAGCTTTACTGAATGCTTTTCCAACGGCTAATGGGATGATCATATAATTTTTGTCTTTTATTCTGTTAACATGATATATCACATTTACTGAATTGCATATGTTGAATCGTCCTTGCATCGCTGGGATAAATCTCACTTGATGATGGTAAATGATCTTTTCGAAGTGTGTTGGATTTGGTTTGGTAGTGTTTTGTTGAGAGTTTTTGCATCTATGTTCATCAGGGATGGTGGCCGATAGTTTTGGTGGTTGTTGTCATGTCCTTGTCTGGTTTTGGTATCAGGGTAATGCTGTTCTCATAGGATGAGTTAGGAAGAACTCTATTCTCTTCAAGTTTTAGGAATAGTTTAAGAAACATTGGTATTAGCACTTCTTTACATGTTTGGTAGAATTCAGCAGTGAAGCCTACTTCTAAGCTTTTCTTTGATGGACAACTGTTTGTGCGACCTTGTAACTTCTTTACTTACTTTTATTCTTTTAACTTTTTCCCTTATGACTGTATTTTCAAAGAGCTTGTCTCCAAGCTTACTGATTCTTTCTTCTGTTTGATCAATTCTGCTGGTGATGCTTTCCAATATGTCTTTCATTTCATTCATTATATTTTTCAGGTCCAGGATTTCTGTTTGAATTTTTAAAATTTCATCTCTCTAGAAGATTCCTCTGATAAATTTCTAAATTGTTTCTCTATATTTTTTGACGTTTGAGAAGCATCCTTAAAACAGCTATTTTTTAATTCTTTAAGAGATCACACATCTCCATTACTTTAAGGTCAGGGTCTGGTGCCTTATTTTCTCTCTTTGGTAAGGTAACAGTTCCCTGAATATTACTGATGATAGTGGACATGTGACAATGTCTGCACTTTGAATCATTGGGTATTTGTTGCAGTCTTCACAGTCTGGCTCTACTGTGCCTGTCATTTTTCAGAGGGTCTTCCAGAGATCTACAAAAACTAATTGTGTTTCCTGAGCCTGTAAGCATTGAAGTTGTCTTAGCACTAGAGGGCCCTCTCAGCCCAGGTTTGCTGTGAATCTCACAAGGACTCCAAGGTTGGCATGGCTGTCTGTCCTAGATAGACCTGGGGGAGACTTAAGGAGAGTCCATAGGCTGTTGATGAAAGCTGAACAGGGACCTGAAACTAAAATATTTTCCAGTGGCCCACACAACCTGCTTCCCGGCAGGTCTCTATATGAGTGGACTGGGCCCTCTCAGGATCTGCTGTGTGACAGCAGCTGATGAATCTGTCTCATTGGCCCAGATGAGTGCGCAATTTCAAGCAGGTCTTTGCACAGACAGTACAGTTCCCCAAATATAGTAACGGGGGGCTGAAATTAAGACTGGTGTGCCTCAAGATCTGTTGTAAAATGTAGGTTGGTGAACTCCTCATGGAGGCTCAGACTCCCAGGCTAAAAGAATATGGGCAAGTTGCCTTCTGTGTCCTTGTAGAAGCAGTTCTGATCTGGGACCTCACCTGAGGGAAGCTGGTGCCAAGCCAAAGAGCAACTTTCAGGTTCAGTATGAAGACCATTGTCACTGAGCACACAAGTCTCTTCACTGAGGCGATAGTCTGTGTGGTTCCTCTTGGATGCCTTGGCAAATGGTTTTGGTGCAGGTTTAAGGACAAACAAGGATGTAGCCAAGCCCTTTGGGAAATGAGGTTATTTCCAGACTTCAACCTGGGAGCATAATCAGCAGATCAGCAACATGGGTGCTGGTCTGTACTCTCAAAATAACCCTCCTAAGTCTTGAGCTCCACTGGGGCTCTGCAGCCTCCTACCTGAATCCTGAGACTACTGCAGATAGACTTTTGTCTGTGGATGGGTGCAGAACTCTTGTTGTGAAGGGAGATGAAAGCGTTATTTTTTATTCCACCATCTTGCTGACCGTACTCTTGTTTCTGTGAATCTAGATTGCTAGCTTGATAACACTGAATTTTACATTTGTGATTGCTGCTCACAAATCTGAAATTGTAGAATTTTCTCCAAACTACGTTTATGTAAATAGCTAAATGCAACTTCAAACAGTTATGTAACATAATGCCTATCCCTAAAGATATCAAATAATAAGCAAGGCTAATACTACATAATTAAAATTTTTGCCTTCTATACATGCAGCACATAAAGCATTTTTTCAATACAACTTTGACAGTTTGTTTGAACATGAACTGTGTCTCAATGCCATGTCCTCAAGAGACCTGTGGGAGTCTTTTTGCACTCTGCAGTCACAGCTGCCTCTCAACCTCCTGACATTTCTTATCAGGTATGTGACATAAAACATAATTGTTAAAATAATATAAGTAACCAAACATTTTATTTAAAAATGTCAGTCATCATAACAAGACATCATTTTTAAAAATATTAACAGTTAATAAATATTTGCAACAAAGAAAAGATCAATTAATGAAAAATTTCGATGAGGCTTTGGGATATTGATTTGGAGCAGTATTGTAATAGTTCTTTTCATATGAACAAAGTGTGCAAATAAAAACACATTAGCTACTTTGACACTGGACACCTAAACCTCCTGTTATCTTGCCCTTTGAAATATGCATAATTAATGTATGTCTCTCTTGATTGCTGATTCAATAAATCTAATTTGCTTATTTTCATATTTATTAATTTTAATATTTACAATGTAAATTACTGTGTCTTTTGTAGTCATAGTATTGCTTGCCAAAATAAAATGCCTGATTTACAAAATATTACTCACTTCAGCTCCCATTTAATTTCTGTAGGCATGTGAAGCTATAAGTCACATAATAGATTTTTAGCATAAAACTGTATTCTATATCATAATGAGTCCATAGTGCTTAAATGTTTCTATACCCTGCTAGAAATAAAATGTTACTTGGTATCTAGAACTAATCTATAATAGAATATTTTTCAACTAATTGCCTCTTTACAGAAAATTATATGGAATATTTCTTACAAAGACCAACCTATTAAAATACAACTATGATTGAGTCCATCATTAAAATTCCCAGGCCTGACAATGACACAAGCACGATTTCAGTTGGAGCAATCAACATTTCCTTAGTAGATATAATTTTTAGTAAGCATTTGTCCTCTTTCTAAAGGAATGATACTAGCAAGATGGTAACAGAATTTTGACTATGCTATCATTGTAAAGTTAGATATAAGTAATCTATCAGATTTCTTTTACAGCTAATTGGAAAAGAAGTGGAATATGGAATTAAGATTCTCACTCTACTGGGAACTTTGAGACAACTAAAATGTTAGATATAATTAAATCATAGAGTTTAAATGAATTTGAGAAGTCATCTATCTAGTCAAATTGCTTTCATTTGAGAACAGACTTAAATCATTCTTCCCTGATTACTATCTGAACCCTTTTAAAGACATCCTCAATTAACTTAGCAACTATCATAATCCATTTTCTATTGCCATTACAGAATACCACAAATGGAAACTTTAAAGAAAATAAATTTATTTCTCACAGTTCTGGGGGCTGGGAAGTCCCAGAGCATGCCACCAACATTTCATGAGGGTCTTTGTGCTGTGTCATTCATAACAAAGGGTGGGAGGACAAAAGATCAAGAGAGCAAAAAGATTGAACTTGCAGCCGCAACTTCTTTAAAAGACATTAACCCATTCAGGAGGGAGGGCTCCACCTTCATGACCTAAACATCTCCTACAAGGCTCCACCTCCAAACAGTGTTGCATTGGAGATTAAGTTTGCAACACATAAACTTGGAGAGATACAGTCAAACCATAGAAGACTCGAAGGACTGTCCAACAATTTTCATTGTTGGTGAAATCATCCTTACATCTGAATATTTGAGGTATTCACCCCAAGCAGCACATAAAGTACTTTTGTTCTGTCGTTCGTTTATAAGAAAAAGGGCATATTTGAAACTTTTCCATGAGTAATTACAAAAGCTGTCAAATCAAGGTTGTTCTCTTCTAAATTGGAGAAAATTTGTTTCTTCAACTGCTTTTTCTTCTCCAGGTTTACTTACAGAAATATTACAGAGAGATCACAGTTATTTTAATGATTTTGCATTAAAATTTTATGCAGTCTATAGTCCACCTAATTTTTTGAAGCCCAAATTGGACCAAAAGGCTCTTAAAAATATGTTTAAGTAGACTACAGTAGAATTCTTTGTCACTACTCCTGGCATGACTTGATATATATATATATATGTGTGTGTGTGTGTGTGTGTGTGTGTGTGTGTGTCAAGAGAGAATTTTTTAAAATTCTTCAACCCTATGTATCTATACATTTTTCCTATTGTTTACAACTAATTCCTAAAGTTGTTCTTCTCCATTAACTTACAATTTTAGCTTGGAAATTTGTTTCATAAAAAAGAATTTGTATATATCAAGCATTAAAAATAATTTACCGGAAGAGCTGAACTTACCCTGGGAGCAAAAACGGCGTCGTTGACAGAATGCATGTGGCCATAAAGTGACTGCTCACATTTACCCTAGAAAGACAAAGCAGGAATAAAGTCAAATAAATTTCATTTGGGCTGTGAAAAGGAATTCAAAAATGCTTTTATTTAAGCTTTAAGCAATTTGTTAGCCCCTCCCCAAGAATGAATACATTCTTACCATAGAGAATATTAGCTTATACTATCAAGTACTATTCAGAATCATACAGAGCTATAGCGGGGAGCATGCCATAGTGCTGGTACCTACACTGAAATACTACTGTTGCTGCTTTTACACGACTCAGCTAGGAGTAAACTCTCACTAAGTGGCTCAATTTCTCAGTTAGCATAGCTTTCAAGCCCTGAGGCCAAGGACTATTAATAAATCTCTTGTTAGAAAGCCATTGTTTTCAGCACAGCATTTCTAATGCTGCTGGGGGTAGGCGGTGGGGTCTCTCTTTTTCTTTTTAAATTATAGAATCACATTTTAGCTCCTGAATTTTCCCAGTTCACAATTAATATCATTACATGTATAAAAATTTATAAAATATGTACAGGGATATTTTTAAATATAGAATAAGCATTTGTTTTGTGAAAACCAAATGTCACATCTATCCATTCAGCTGAACATATCCAAATAATAGCTAAAATTAAAATTCACCACAAAACATCCAAGCTTCAGTGTAAATGTTTCCAGGAAAGATGGACCTATAACACATTATAATGGGGATCTAAATATGTAAATGTGGGGCCTTTCATTTTGACACCAATGTTCAAAGGGCATTCTTGACTATTGTAGGGAAATAACCCAAATTCTGTAGTAGAACAAGGGAAAGTTATATGTAGGCTATTGCTTGGAGAGTCTTGCTATATACTTGGAAATTCAGATTTCATTCAATGATTTGTTCATTCAACAAATATTTTTGAGCAATTAATATCTGTCAGTATAATTATAGGTGCTTAGGATAGGTCAACAAATAGACAAAGAATCTTATTCTCATGGATCTTATATTCTGGTAGGGGAGGTGGATATTTTGTTATAAAAACATAAAATGTATTAGAAGACGGTAAGTCTGAAAAGAAGAAAATGTCAGGCAGGGTTAGTAACAGCATACATTTTTGGATTTGGGAACTAAGGGAAAAAGCACAATATTAAGTAGAGTTACTCAGTTGGGCCTTACTCAGAAGATAAGGTTTGAATAAAGAATGAAGTAGTAAGAGAGTTAGCCAAGCAGACATCTGGAGGAAAAGTGTTCCAGGTAGAAAGAAAAGGTAGAGTAAACATCCCCAAGTGCATGTTTGCCTCACACGTGTCTGGAACAGCAAGGAAGCCAGTGTGGCTGGAGAGAAGTAAGTCAGAAGGGTAGATTCACTCAAAAGTTTTCATCTACTCTCATTCACTACCTTGTATTTACTTTGCCTTAAATCTTTGAAGGCTGGGAGAGATTACAGAAAAGAATGCAAAATGAGCTATCGAAGATAGATCATCATGATGCCCCTCACTGTTACTGGCCATTCATGGAGTATTTCTGAACCAAGCAAAGTTGGAAAGGCTTTACAACTAAGCTCTATTTGGTCCTCACTATTCGCCATTGTACTCAGCAAGTTAACTTCCAAATATCAATTTAAAGAATCAATTCACACTATGAATCTTTGTTCACAGAGTGCAAAATTTCCCCACATAAATTTATTCCCCCACATAAGTTTCACAACAATAAATGGAAACACTTGGATACTCTCTCAGCATCCATCCTTGTTATTATGGTTTAATAGCTTGATACTGTTATAACTTTAAACTATTTATGCTAAGAACTTCAAATCATCCCAATTCCCAAAATAGGAAGAAATTACTTACAAAGCAAAAAAGGCAAAGCATAAGATGTTATAATTAGTTTTTTATATTATCTTAGAAACATTTTTGGTTAATTTTGAGAACTAATATACAGTGACATAATATTATACTTGTATACTAAGTGCTAATATTTTTAAAAAGATATAAATTAGCAAGACTGTCTTAAAATATATTTTTGTGTTAATAAAAGTTTTGCATTTGTTCTTTTTCTAACTTCAGAATCTCTATTTGATTAATTGGTGAGGAAAATGTAGTGGTTTATTTTATTTTATTTTATTTTTTACAAATTCTGAATGCCAAGTTTTAATTCAAAGTAGAATCTCTACGGCACTCTTGAAAAGCCCTGGAAATATGGGGTTATAAAGGAAACGCTGACGGACCACATTTATGCTGCTATAACAAAACCTGACTCGAAGATAAATGCTTCATGAATTTAAAAATGTTAAAAAAGCTTTTCTACACAGCTTTGTTCCCAAGATAAAAGTGAATCTCCTCTTTTTGTGGTATAGGGAATATGTGGGTTACTAATATTCTGGTCTGCAAACAGCCTTAATCAAAAGCAATACTCAAACTGGGACATTAAAATTTGCAGTATCTTCTTTGATGAATTCTTGTCAGAATTGTTTTCTTTCAAAGGAGTAGAGAAAATAAAAAAGGAAGAGTTTACAAAAAAAAAAAAAAATCATGTGACCCAACATGCAGTGCTCCAGCATTTCATTCTCTCAGGCAGAGAAGCTGTGTGTAGTAATGATCTCTATCCCTTGCCCTGGGGGTAGAAACGCCTGCACTTAATTCTTGGATCTGCCATATAATAGCTGTGTGACCTTAAACAAATTGCTTCACTTTACTGTGCTTCAGTGGCCTGATACGTACCATGAGATAATGGCATTTAACCTATAGCTTTGTTAGGAGAACTAATTGAGATAATAATGTTGGTGTGTTGCCTAGCACAGAGTGAGAGCTTGACGAATATCGGCTCTTAATATTTGTCATAACTGAAGTGCTGAATATTTTTCAATCGACATCTTCGCCCTTCTCCACTGAGCTCCAACTCTGAATGCCTATTTGCCTTCTTCAAGATCTCTTGGGGCCGTGGGTGCTGTTTTTTCTGTTACCCTTAGATTCATTCTCCACATGGCTCTGCCCTGCCCTAAGCCAGGCTCTCTACTAACTACATTGCCTAGGTTCTCAGGACCTCTGGGCTCTGGTTAGATTTAGCCAGAAGGAAGGACCTATAGGATATGGATGAGCAGAAAGAGAGAGAGAATGGATAAATTGTCACTTCTGCTACTTCCCATTCAGCTGTGATTATGTTCGTGGCCTTATTCCCTACCAAATTCCACAGCTCCTGTATCCTTTCTCACGGCTACTTGCACGCTGCACCCAGCAATGCTTTCCTTCCCCTCCCCTCTCAGGCCCAGTGGCAGAGGGCAGGGATGACTTCCCACTGCTGCGAGTCCCTGGCTGCTGTGCTCACTCCCTTAAGGCTGCCCATACCTCTGTAAACATTAAATTTGAGATTACGCTGTGAGTCCCCTCTTTCCTGCTGCTGACCTGTCTGATACGGCATGTCAGACATAATAAGCAAAAGAAGGTTTTGATTTACTACTTCCCAACTGTCTATGTTGATCCTCACTAAATCTTTATACCTATAAATGGCATCCCCAGGTGCTCAAACAAACAAAGCCAAGGCAACCAAGGCAATCAGAATACTTCTTTTTCTTCCCCCACTCCAGCCCCAGCCCTAATCTACTACAAGTCTCTCTTCAAAATACAGCCCTTATCTGCCCAGCTTGGTCCCTCGCCATCACCACCACTCTGGGGCCGGCCATCATCCTGCAGACCCTGACTGTGGCAGGAGCCTCCTTCTCCAACGCCACCCTCACTCCTAGTCATTCCTTTCGCCATCTCTAAAGCAACTAACAAAAGCTGAGTCAGACCGTGCCATGCTCCTGCATATGGCCATCCAAAAAATTGCCATGGCACTAAAAAAAATTCCAAACTCTTTACCTGTGTTCTAAGTCCCTATATTATTTGACTCTAGTCTATGTATCTGACCTCATCCTTTACCACTCTTCCTTCTCTTTCACTGTGTTCGTTGAATATTTTCACATTTCCCCTGGTCAGGACTTTCTAAGCAGAGATCTGGCACTTGACATAAAGAATGACTGAACAGCAACTCTAAAGATGGAGACCCCTGGGGAGATACAGGAACATCTCACCCTGAGGCATTCCTTCACATCCAAGGGTTGCAAGTCCACAGGCCTTCCGTCCTTTTGGGAAGATTTGTTTAGATTTCAGAGCAAACGTTTCTTTAATGTTCTCTCTATCTCTCTCCCCTCTTACTGTCTGTTTCTCTATCCCCCTCCCTCCCTCCAATGTTCTTTCTCGTGTTCTCTTTCTCTCCGTTTCCCTTTCTGCCTCCAACTCCCACTACCCAGAAGGAAGAAGGAAAATTGAATTTCATGGTTTGGGGCTTCCTTTTTACATAACCCCTTTCCTTCTCTACCCACGAGGTGCATATGGTTCTGACACAGCCCTCCCTGCCCCCACATAAGGAATTGAGGAATAGAAATAAACAGTCTTCTCTGTGAGTAAATGGTTTGATATCTGATCCAGAAACCTCCTTTATACTATCAGGATAGTAACTCAGTACAGACAGACATAGGAACATACAGCTGTCACACTGGTCTTCCCGTTTTCTAACTGTCCGGAATGTTCCTGCCTTTGTGCTCTTTCCTCTATTGTGGATGTTCTCATGTAAATATACACATGTCCTTATCCTTGCTGCTTCCAACTCAAACACAACCTTTTTTGTGCTGTCGGAGATCTAATTTCCTGACCTTTCTCTTACAACTAGTCACTAGAGCAGCAGAAATTGTTTCAGGAAACCCTTTTATCTTTCCTCTTGGGCACACAGCCAGGCTAGAGATCAGGTGTGGTCATGTGACTGAGTTCTGCTCAGTGAAATGCAGGTGCTACGGGTAGTTAGGCATGAGCTGGGCAGGCGAAGGCTCTTCCGTCACCCACTAGAAATGTTGGGTGATCGTTCTGCGATATTGCTTCTCTAAAAATGACAATCTGGCAACTAGAGAGAGAGAATCTTGTGATGGTCCACAATTGTTAACATTAAAGTGTTCATTGAATGCAGGCCCCAGGAAGAAGCAGCTTCTTGGGCATGTGTGTTAAGAGACAAAATGGT